GAGCTGCAGGTGTAGAATAGAGTTATACTGATTACAAACTATATTTTTTCATCAATGGTGCAGGTGGAGAAAATAGTTACATAACCATAACTAAGAGTTATGTTATGAGTTAAACTAAAAATGTCTCATGTAAAGTTATATTAGGTGTTAAACTAGACAACACTCTGAATGTGACGATGATCGTTATCCTAATGTTATTAGTGTATTTTATTATTTATTCCTTTGCTCATAATAAAACTTCACCATGGACCACCTAAGCTTTGCCTGCTGAAGAGATCGAGCCAGGAATTTCTGTGTTTAAGTCCTGAGCCACTATAAGGCATTATTTAAAGAAATTCTATAGAACAAGGAGATGGCTTATGTTTATATGCGTATCTCCACACATACCAACACAATATATGAAACGACTGGTATATTCAGCTCTGAACTTGTTTTTCTTTTCAGATATGAATCAATTCATTATCTTGATTATACCGCTTATATTGATTATGGTGACCTCTGGTGACGATTTTCGACTATCCTTTGGATACCATGGTAATCAGAGGTGGCCCAACCGAAGGAGCAGGTATTATCTACCGGAATCTGCAAGAACGGATGAGACTTGTGTTTGTGTACCCGCAGCACTCTGTAGTCAAAGGAACATTGTAACAGATGGAATGGGTTTAATTGATGCTCGGAGAAGGGTAGGGGTTAACTATAAAGTTACATGTGAAATAAAATTGTGGGAAACACGATTCGATAATGTTACGGAAAATCCCATTAGTTGTTAGGGGTGGACTAAGACTAGTTACATTTAATCGAATCTATTACTACTAAATTAGGGACAGCTAGCGCAGATAGCCCTTGAACAGCTTTACCATAAATTCAACAAATAAACAATCATTGTTAATACTTAGTTTCAATATGTGTAAGAGTAAGTATGTTAAATACGCTTCGCAAAGTAAATACAGTCATTTCTGTAATTATATGGGTTAATCGAGCTATGTTAAACCAAGTGTTGTTCAGGAGAATTTTGATAGTTCCTACAACAAGTAATGTTGAGGAACATGTCTGTAGTTTTTACACTAAGTAATGTTGTCTGTAGTTTTTACACTAAGTAATGTCGTCTGTAGTTTTTACACTAAGTAATGTTGAGGAACATGTCTGTAGTTTCTACACTAAGTAATATTGAGGAACATGTTTGTAGTTTCTACACCAAGTAATGTTCAGGAACATGTTTGTAGTTTCTACACTAAGTAGTGTTCAGGAACATGTTTGTAGTTTCTACACCGAGTAATGTTCAGGAACATGTTTGTAGTTTCTACACAGAGTAATGTTCAGGAACATGTCTGTAGCTTCTACACTGAGTAATGTTCAGGAACATGTTTGTAGTTTCTACACTGAGTAATGTTCAGGAACATGTTTGTAGTTTCTACACCAAGTAATGTTCAGGAACATGTTTGTAGTTTCTACACCAAGTAATGTTCAGGAACATGTTTGTAGTTTCTACACCAAGTAATGTTCAGGAACATGTTTGTAGTTTCTACACCAAGTAATGTTCAGGAACATGTTTGTAGTTTCTACACCAAGTAATGTTCAGGAACATGTTTGTAGTTTCTACACCAAGTAATGTTCAGGAACATGTTTGTAGTTTCTACACCAAGTAATGTTCAGGAACATGTCTGTAGTTTCTACACTAAGTAATGTTGAGGAACATGTCTGTAGTTTCTACACTGAGTAATGTTTAGGAACATGTCTGTAGTTTCTTCACTAAGTAATGGTTACGAACATGTCTGTAGTTTCTACACTGAGTAATGTTTAGGATCATGTTTGTAGGAATGTGTCGGTAGGTGTCGCAGATGTAGAGAGTATGAGGTATGTTGCCTGTCTCACCAACGAACATCTAAGCAGTGCGGAGTAAGCCAACTACTGGGGTCCACTATTGGAAGTCTTGCACCACCGAAGGATGGTCATGCAGATTTCGGAAAATGGCCTTGGCAGGTAGTTATTTGATGTTATTTATCCGAATATTTTATCCTAGCTTTATGTGATTCTATATTTCAACAAATTAGTGATTTTAAGGTTAGCCGTTAGATGATTGGTAAAACTTCATTTAAATAACCTTAGCTGGTGGTAAAACACGATTGGTAAAACTTGATGTTAATAACCTTAGCTAACGGTGAAACACGATTGGTAAAACTTGATGTTAATAACCTTAGCTGCTGGTAAAACACGATTGGTAAAACTTGATGTTAATAACCTTAGCTGCTGGTAAAACACGATTGGTAAAACTTCGTGTTAATAGTTTTA